GACCCACCGAGATTAAGCGCTTTGAAAAGGATGCAAACTCAACAGTCAAGTGGTCATTGCACTTGGCACGCGCCTGGCTGGAGAACATTGAAATCATTGAGCGAAAGGTCGATCCAGCGAATACTCAAAAGCGCAACTCTGGCGGATGGCTGGCATCTTTGACTGGGAAGATGAGCCTTCACCCAAATAGCCATGCTCATTCTCACGGCGACGTCTCCGTGTACACCATTCAGGGACGGTACAGCGAAAGACAAGTCAATGGCTTGACGAATTTTGCAAGAAAGCTTCGCTGGCCCGATATCGAATCAGACACATACGCCGAGCAGATTTCCGAGACAGTCAACAAGGTATCAGAAGCAACGCCGATTCACACGCCTGCGGAGACACCAATGAGCATCGACACAAAGAGATCATCTTATTTCGGTGGCGGTCGGACAGAAGCGAGCGTTACTCGACACCCGTCCGGGAAGCACAAGATCTCGGCAGCTTTACACCCGTCGGGATGGTTATCCAAGTCTTACGTGTCCGGCCTTATGCTTCCAGGCGAAGGACTGTACCACTTGATCATGACCACTCTCTTGGAGAACGACAAGGAGGCAATGTCCAAATTGGGCCCGATGGCGAACTTATGCGGTGGTTTCGTGTATCGCGGAAAGAGTTTCTGGAGCACGGCTTGCATCATTGGCCGCGTTCTTGCTGCTGGCGCTGGCTCTGCTCAATGTATGGGATGGATCTCGAGCGATATCACTCCCCAAGGACATGGTGACGGCTGGGTCAATATTGATGTTGCCGAAGTCTGTGGTAAGTGACTCTCTAATCAGCTCTCCATTGACGTAGACTAAACATCGTTGGCAGATGACATGAAAAAGACAGGCAAGCAAGCCCGGTTGTGGGGTAAGACTCACGTCGAGCGCGAGTCTTGTGTTCTGGGTGATGCGGATCCCAGCTCGGTACTCCCCGCGGATTTCATCATCCCTTATGAGAATAACTATTCGGAGCCGCCTCCGAGCCTGAGCATTTCCTTGACGTCGCTCAATCTATCTGCGCCCGTGGACTCAACCCGCACCACTCCGACTGAGGAGACGGTGATGACCCCATTCTCGGACGTGACCCGAGCTCACGAACTCTACACATATCCGGCCTCCATCTCCTTTTCTGTCGGTCCCAATGGCGGCGAAGCAAAGGAGCACCAATTTTCACTGATGAAGGACATCCATTTTGTTACGGCTCATCCTTGCCACCCGTCCTCCCACGTCAGGGTCTTAAGGTCCCCTTCAAGCCCCACTATCCAGCAGATCGACGTGGACGGCAGCGGCATCGGCGGTGTGAGCTCAAAGCCGGCCACCATCACGGGTAAGAAGAAGCAACTCCTCCTGAGATAGCCACACAAACTGACCATCATCTAGGACATCCCCTGCACAAATTCTTCACATATACCGTTATCCACCTTTCAGAGCTTCTTGAGAAGCCAGACGCCTCCCTGGATACTTTACTCCTCAACACGTCATCCGTCCGGCGTCCATCTCTCACTCCCACCATGAACACCACACCTCGTGTTCTGGTCATTGACTGTATCACCGGCTTCAAGCGTCAGGCCCCGACGCAAGAGACTCCCACGTCTCCCATTCTCGAACGTACCGCCAACGGTGCCAGCCTTGCGACGACCAATATGCACCTCGAGTCCCGGCGCCGCCAGTTCGGAAGTGACATGGAGGTCCTGGTGAGAGCCTTCTGCGCAGAGAAGGGCTGGAATGCCATCATCTCGAGACGCCGGCGGGGTTGCCTTGCATGCGCCATCAGAGAGGCCGGCGCCCTGGCTTGGAAGGTCATCATCCGCGTTGACTAGACGCTTTTCTTTCTTTCTACTTTGTCTTGAGACCGTATAACCCTTTCTTGTGTGTACATAGTTGTGGACGATCGACGGAGATCAAGTCATCATTTCTGGCGTCGGGGTTATTTTTCGATAAGGGATACCAGGGGTACACACGCACACGTGCACACACGAGAGGCATGCATAGCGTTTGATTTTGTTCGCGGGAACGACTGAAAAGGGGGAAAGGAGAAAGAGATGGACTACCTAGGGTGCCTGCATTATTACGTCTGCGAGCTGTAGTGCTAGATACCCCCAAACCCTGATATAATACGCTGTAATGATGCATCCGCCCCTCCACAGCCCGTTTGCTATTATGTGACTTGGTTCTCAAGGTTCGCAGTCTTTAAGTGCGCACATATAGTGTGCATGCATGATGGTTTAGCTTCAGCAGTCTGCGTGTCTCGCGTAGCTACCGTAAGTACTTCAAAGAACCAAATTTTCGTCTAAATGACATTGCCGATTTGGGCAAAACTGGCATGTAACTAGTCATCAAGTAACCGACCCGAAAATGCATGACAAACTAGCAAGCCCCTTTGAGGCCTTTGGGGTCTGGCCTTGTAAATGGTATCATGCAAAGAGAAAAAGGATTGGATCCCTCCCGTACGCAAAACATCAACTACCTGATTACTGCAGGCGTCATCCTATTCAACACACATTCAAAGGTCCTTGCCATCAAACCAGCTGTTGACGCTCCACTCCTTCCAGCCGCGCTTCTCACCAGGGAGCTCGATGGACTCGTACTCCTCCTTAGTGACCTTTTGCCACTCCTCGAGGGGGATCCAGCCAATGTAGGCGCGGTCACCGAAGCCGCCGATCCAGTAGACGGACGTGACGACGAAGCGAACCCACTCTGACTCGTGGACGGGGCTGCCGGGAAGCCAGTACTTGGAGTCCGGGTGCTTGTTGACGAAGCAGTGGGCGAGCTTGAGGGACGAGACGGGGTCGGCGGGGATCTTCTCGAGGTAGCCGAGGAGAGAGAAGCGGGGGAGGTTGGCGGCGGAGTAGGGGACCGTGTCGGGGAGGGCGGTGGCCGCGGCGTCGGCGTCGGAGGAGGAGCCAAAGATTCTGTTCTTGAGCGAGGAGAAGAGGGAGATGCGCTTCGCGGGCGGGAAGGGCGGGACCCAGTGCATGGAGAGGGAGATGTTGGAGCCGGCGCGGACATTCTTGAAGGACGTGGCGATGGTGATGGCCAGGATGGTGGGGTTGCCCTCGTCCTCGCAGTCGGCGACGTAGTCCATGAGACCGATGGGCATGCCGGAGAGGTCACCGCCCGAGGCAGAGTGGGCGCCTGCTGGGAAGACGGTCGCGAGCTCGGCCAGCTTGGTCACGGCGAGAATGCGGCGGCCCATGACTGCGGACTCATATGAGGTCGGAATGCGGTTTGCGTCGGCACCGCCCTCGGGGTTGGAGAGGAGGTGCTGCGGCATGCCTGGCTCGAGGACAGCGGTGGCAGCGGAGGCAGCTAGGCCGGCGAGGATGGCGGATGTCTTCATCTTGTTCTCAAGTTGGACAAGGCCGAGAAGAGGAGATCTGGGACTGGTTTAACGGTAGGCGGGAGAGAGGGTGCAGTAGGAGGAGGATCTGTCGGGAAACGGGCGTGTGCGAGGTTTTGTAGCAAAGTCCTCACTTGAGGTGCGTGTGTGTGTGATCGGTCGGTCGGTCGGTCGGAAAGGGTGGGATGGATCGGATCGTACGAGCTGCTCGTGGTGTGAGGCGGTCTCGGAAGGGTTAGGACGTAGGGCCAAGATATTTGGGAGGGAACTATTGAGCGCGAGTACGGCGGGGACGGTGTCTTCTTTGGGGAGGATTCTTCGGCGTTGGGGGATGGATTGAAGAACAAAGAGGATGGAATGGATCCGCCTGGGCAAACACGAGTACCAACAACGTTGGTAACAGTCAGAAGAACGAGTCGGGTTTCGTAACGGGCGAGGACGGGGAGGTCGGTCTGCAACGGTGGTGGGCTGGGGTCAGTCAGAAGGTTAGGTTACCTCAAGTTGGGTTTAGCTGGGCAACTCCGCAAGAGAGGAGATGGGCGCATGTGATGTCTGGGATGAGACGCTTGGAAAGTGGCCCGGGGTTAGATCTGATAAGCCAAACGGCGTTTAGCGCGACAACGACCCAAGCCTGACTCTATCCACTCCGAGCCATGCGAGCATGGGGCAGGGCTGCTGGCGGCTGTACGCAGTACGGATACGCAAGGTGAAATTTCTAGGTCTTTTTCCCGAAATTGTGGGCTGGCGAAAAGCTGTCTTGTCCGTCTGCCTGCAGGTATCTGGGTTGCATGATCATCTCCGGCGTCTAGATGAGCAAATGCTGTTGGTGTACCTTATGTATCTGCAATCCCAAGACCGGGCAGAAGGTGAAGGCACGGGATGAACAGCCGCCAGTGTCTTCGGTTCCATTCGGTCCAGTGTTCCATGGCTATCAGCTTATCAGGAGGAGGGGGAAACAGTGCATAAATCGGTTTTTGAATGATTTATGCCTCCAAATACACACTGTACTGGCTTTTCTGAGGTGGGGGGAAGGAGCGGAGAGCCAGAGGGGTTTTGGGTGAGGAAGGCACTGACGGTACACGATTAGATGGCAGAAGGCGCCCACTTATGCTAGGAATTTTCCAGGAAGGAAGTACTGGTCACTCCAAAAGGGTCTTCTCATTGCCAAGTGCTGATTGGTGCGCGCAACTTGTCCGTTCGCACCTCAAGTCAAGTCTTTTCAGGGAAAGGCGTAGGTCACCTCACAAAGACCACCAAAGACAACAACTGAGGTACCTGACCTACAACACCAGTCAAGAAAGACTCAAGCCCTTCGACTGACAGGTAGCAGCAGAAAAAAAAAAGAAGGCGCGCCTTTTTGCACACAAATTCAGCACATACTCAGGGCCCTTCACCCAAGACGAGGCATTTCATTTGCCCCTCAGTCACTCGATTATCCAGTGTCGACTTGAACAAGGGTATATGGTGAGCCCAGTCTCCATTCTTGCCCCGCTGAAAATTCACTCTCAACTTCCTTAGCATTGAGGGACTTGGGCGTCCACAGGTGAGACTGATCAGCTAGGGTCCTTCAACACCAACGTGCTTACAGTACCTGTCTAACGCCGACTTCACACTAGGCCTCACAGCTGATTGCCATGGAAGAGGAGACCAACATGGCAACTTGGAATGGTTTGCCTGTCGAGCTCAAGGGCCTCATTCTCGAGCACCTCGCCTACGGAGCCGTCGCCGAGAGACGCTCAAAAACATCAAAGTCAAAGAGCAAGCGTCATGACATGGGCAGCTATGCAGTCGTCTGTCAACAATGGCAGAGATTCATAGAAAAGATCAACTTCAACAATCTCGAGATCAACTCCGCCAAGGATCTCTCCCGCTTCGACGAGATTCTCCAGGACCCCATCCGTCGCTCTTATCTGCGCCGTATCTCACTTCACATTGAGCTGCCTCGCTATAACAGCAAGCTGGCCAAGGTTCCCGAGACAGACACTGAGCAGAATGAAAATGAGATCAAATTCACTCAGGGAATCTGGAATCTTTTCGACATCCTCAGTAAATGGACCCCTTCAGGCCAGAGTGTCGAGTTGGAGCTCAGCGCCGCTTCGCCCAGTGATAAAAACAAGCTGTTTGGTGAGCTGGGCTTGGATCAGGACGGCAACTCACGCTTCTTCGACCACGACCTAGACTTCTGCTTCATCACTGCCGGCTGCGAGCAGGTCGGACGACATGGTCTCCCCGAGGTCTCAATCATCAATAGCTGCCAGATTCTTCGACGCAACCATCGCAACATCTCATCTCGAGCATTGCTCAGCATCATCTCGAGTCTGCCTAAGCTCGAGGAAGTCCGATTCGAGCCTTGGCATCAGGTCGACTTGGAAGCACAGCTCGAAGTCGACTCTGGTATGCCCCTTTTGTCTCACCACCCACAGACCTAATACTGACTGACATTCTCAGATTATGCCCGTACTTTCCCTTTCTGGCCTTCCCACATTAAGCGAATTAGCATTTTTGAGCATTTCGATGCTTTCAACGATGGCCCGGAAGCCGAATGGGAGGATGCTGAGTCTGTCGACGACAATGACGCCGACCCAACCGGTGGAGACATCGCTCTCCCCATACCCCCCGACGGTGCGGAAGAAGGAGGCGACGTTGCCCGAACCTCATGCCCCAGCCTTGGTCACAATTTGGGCTTCCTCAGCTTGCAGGCCGAGGAGATGGCCGTCTCGAATGTCTCTGACGCGACCGCCTTCTTTCAAGGCCTCCTCGCGCGCAAGCCCGTCTGGAACAACCTCCGCCGACTTGCGCTTACCTCCCACACGATGATTGACGGTATCGACCACGAAACCGTTAATGGCATTCTGCGTTCGATCGCCAGTGCCGCGAAGCACATGCCGGCATTGCAGGTGCTGGAAATTTACAAGACCGACCAATTTGGAGGTGCCGTCTTCCGCTACTCCGTCGAGATATTGTCGACAACGGCATCGTGGGAGAGCACCTGGGACTTTCACATTGGAGCCGATGTGAAGGCTGCGTGGGCTGAGGTCGCTAAGAAGAACACTCCTCACAATATTACCTTCCTTCCCGAGATTCGCCAGAGCGACTACCGAGGCCCCTACGTATTCTTGGACGAGAACCTGAAGACGAAGGATCTGATCATCCACCCGGCATCGTTGGAAGATATGCTGTCCAAGAAGTTGGATAAGTGCTTGGCCTGCAATGGATACTGCGCCGACCCCAAGAGCGAAGAACAGATGTGGGGTTCTTCGGGACTCAACAATGCTTGAGCAATTGAGAAAGATCCGATATATACACACGAGAACATGTCTAGATACCCTGTAGAGTACGAATGTTGGACGGCTGCGAAGATGGATAACGGAAAAGTTGGCGTAAGGGGAAAGCGAACATCATCAAACATTGGTTGATTAGCACAATAGATCCTTCTATCAGTCATAGCGGAAACACAACTGGCATCCTGAGTCACCGTGGTCAGTCATGTCTCCTAGCTACTCATGTCCACCAGTGTTACCTACAGGCTACGACGAACGTTGTTCAGCTGGCGTTGCTCGCCGATGATTCATCTCGCCAGCGCCACTGTAAGAGCTCAGACCACCGAGTGCTGAGCGTGGCTCATGTTGTTGTGTTGATAACCCCTAAGGCCGAATTTTCCGCCCGGACCACCTCTTCCGGATTGGGGCGGAGGCAAATGAAGGAAGGTGACTGGCTGAGTACAAAAAAGAAGGCAAGCCCCCTCGCCCGCCCTGTTCCTTCTCCACTCACTACACGTGACGCACAGAATTACGAACCGAACCCCCAAAATTGTCCAGGCCCGCAAACCTCCCACGCAATCCGACGCCCATTGCCCGCGCAGAAGACGACAAGCCCGCTTCTCGATTGCATCGACAACCAACTCACCGAAACACCACAGCAGCAACTCAAACCGCCACAATGGGAAAGGTTCACGGATCGTTGGCGCGTGCCGGAAAGGTCAAGTCTCAGACGTAAGTCTTTTTTCTTATCCGCGAGAACAGAAAATACCCCCCGTGCATCTGGGAATCGAGGGTGGCAAACCGACGAAAACTTTGGTCACCACGGACGACGATGAGGGGGAATGCCGGTCGGGAAAGAGAAGGGACAACAACACTACTCATTCGACGATCTACGACGGGGGGGTTTGATCTCCATCGAAACGACGACCGACCGGGAGACGGACCGTGTTATTTTTAATGATGAAATGTCGAACCGTGATCGCTGACCACTGCAATAGCCCCAAGGTTGAGCCTCAGGAGAAGAAGAAGACCCCCAAGGGCCGCGCGAAGAAGAGACTCACATACACCCGCCGTTTCGTCAACGTCACCCTCACCGGAGGCAAGCGCAAGGTACGATTTTGATAACGAGTCCCATCTCTCTCGATGACCCCAGATGACTAACTATGGCTGCTTTGCAGATGAACCCCAACCCTACCTCCTAAGCGCCTTCCTCTTCCCACATGCATTCGATACGACTCTAGGAACGTCTGGGCCACTGGCATGAGGGTGGAATCGACGGGACAATCAAGTTCAAGGGTGGTTGGCGAAAATGGTGAAATTTGGGACAAAATGCCGTCGTGGTTTCGGAAATCTTATCACGCCCCTCATATCCCTCCGGTTTCCCTCCGCCTGACGACGGCTTGAGGAATCCCCTACCGGTGTGGTTTACTTGAGTCCGTCTGTGTGTAGATTGATCTCTCCCGACCCGACGAAAGCATAAGAGACAAACGAATGCGTATTGCAGAATTCGTAAAAACTATTTGGTTTTTTTCTGGCATTCAAATCGGAAATGGGGAATACTCGCTTTATCTTTGAACTTGTCTTTTGTCAAACTTTGATGAGCGCTCGCCCATGCTTGGGGAGAAATACACGGATTTCTTCTGCCAACTCTATGACTTGTGCTCAAGAACTGCTGTGATGACATGCTGCACAACATTTCTCCTCGGCAATTTCCACGAGCGGAATGTTTTGCCCATATGCTGAGAGATAATATAGCACCGGACCGGAGGTATTAGCTTGGCTGCTATCCAAATTTACTGCACTCGATTGGGTTATCTGTATCGCGATATTATCCGCGGCCTATCTGTAGAAGACCTACCTGTCATGATTGACTCGCGCCAGAGGCATGACAGCGTGGTGACCTTCGCCAATTGTATGATATGCCAGGATGGAACGGAGTGCTAGCCATGCATGCATACTTGACGAGGCAAAGCTCGGGGCGCCAACCCGAATTCCAGGTCGCTACAGATTGTCCGTATCACCAATACATGGGAAACATCCGCACCTGAATAGTGCTAGTCCGGCAAGCCCCTCTTGCTGGGCAGATACCTTTACTCAGACCTATCTTTGGAACACGGCATTAGAAGCAGACGAAACCGTAGAGAGCCATGACTATCCGCCAAACTCTGGCTTATAAGAGCCAGAAATTCCAGGCTGTTCCGGACAGGGTGACCATGACCTGCTCGGCTTTTGATGGGAAACGGAGGCATTTCTCTTCGCTGTATGGGCCTCAGGACGGTAGATTTATTGTTTCTACATCATGACGCGCATTGTGTGAGGTCCCCTTGTGTGTCCCCTTCTCGATGGCCGATGGTGGAGAGTGCGGACTTGGCTGCGGACTTGGGAGGCACGAACATCCTGGCGTGTAGGCATGAGAGGATGCCGATAAACGATGAGTTTGCGTCTCAAGCGGTGTTTTTGGGGTATAGTATAGCATGCTGATGTTGAGCCGGCGAGAGAACCGGGGGTTGGAAGGGGCAGTGCTGAACTTTGATGTATCTATCCCATCTCAGTAAAGCATGACAGTCAAGCCTACGAGATAATCTTCAGCCAAGTACACTTCCATACCGGAACTTCTGTGCAGTGTCCTCATAGAGTTCATCCAACATACACTCTTTGCGGATTTCCCTTCTTCTGTGCGAGATGACGAGGCGGACTTCGTCGAGCATTTATACGCAGTCCATGCCAGGACTAAGCCAGGGAAGCATGTGTTCAACAGGTGAAAATCAAGCGGGGACGGCGCCTCGGGATATGTTCTCGATGCGTTGGAAATCGAATGATAGACCTTGAGCTTGTTCATTGCGCAGTCTGGGTCAGTTCGTATGACTTCAGCTTCGATTTTCGGGGATGAAGATACCGTGGCGAGAAGCTAACGAGCGGGACTTGAAGTGATCGTATCGCATGTCCTGCGCATTGACATAGCCTCAAGACCCTTGGGATATCTGTGACTGTAATACGGAATTCTGAACCTTGTCCTGTGCAAATAAAGTATGGGCTACCCTCGGTGTGAGATGCTGTGACAGATGCCTCCGGCGTTAGTTATGGGAGCGCCAACTTCGAGACTATAGACGTCTTTCAATCCATGTTCATGATAAGTCGTTCCTCATAATGTATTATTTATGGAATCAGGACTGCGTTGTAGCTACCTACCCACGTTGGCGGTGTCATGTCAAACTTCCGTCCATCTCTCCAGCATGTGGCTATTCACGAAACTTAACACTCGTCCGTCTTCACTTTTTATGGATACTCAGCCCTTCCCGTACCAGGAGAGAAGATGTAGTGAGTCTTATTTGAAATAACATTCACTGCAGAATACTACAGATGCCTTGATTGGGCTTGCAGATTACAAAGCCCTCTAAGCAGGATAACCATATCTTCCAGCATCGTGGCTTTGAGACAAACTCATCCAGCCGAAAGGTCACTTTACAAGGTGAACACGCCGCCGTTGATTCAATCAACAATGTCCTCGAATCCGTCAATATAGTCACACCAATCCGCGTCGTAGTATATCTCGCAACGACACTCTCTTTGAATAACAGCCGGAAGCCAGCTGATACGCACAATAGGCTAGGACAAGTTACACCGCGAGCCAAACGGTGGAATCTTTGCCACGGAGTAGGTCGAACCATACTCGAGGAACTCGCCCACATTCAGGCCACCAAACTCAGCCAACGTACTTAAACGTTTCCTCCGCCCATCGAGGTGCCCGTTCAAGTGTCGTCAACCCGCCCGGAACGACGCACGTGCCCCCACTCGGCCCCCAAGACGTCCCCGGGGCCGTGGAATGCGGGGCCACATAGACGCCTACCGCACCATCACCTGTGAGCTTGGGCGAAGGACACATCCCGAGTTGCTGTAGATAAAGTACTTCTGTCACTTGTGAGCTCATGGAGTCAGATACATTTTCTAGAGGCACATAGGATGTTTCTCAGATCATTCGTCACATACAATGAGGTTACTATAATCAATCGGTGAAATACATGTGGCTGCTACCGCTATGCCTGCTCCATAAACACCATCCCATGCCATTGATCATCCGTTCGAGTTAAACTTGCGTCACCCACTATTTCAGCAACACCGCCGTGTTGCCAGAAAATTTCCAATATTCCAAAAGATATACAAGCCAAGTAATGTCGAGATAAGTACATTGCAGAAAGTTATGACAAATCCGAGCTCCCAGCCCGCGAAGGTCGCCCTGCTGCCCCCGAGCCAAGGTCATGTAACAGGCTCCGTAAACTCTCGACCAAGGGCGGTAAAGGCTCCGAAACCACAGGGAAATTGTTCCGGAAAATGTCTCTCGCGATAGAGAGAACCACGCTCGGATTTGAAAGCGATTTCACGCCATCGGCAGGGTTTCCGTTGATGGTGATGCCAGGTACTCCGCGGTCAAGCTGGAGAAAAGCTCTGGTGTCCCGGTTTTCGTCCGAATCCATCAGCGTGTATCCCGACGTAGACCTGCTAGTGCTCATGCCGTTGCTAATTTCTTGGTCGGAACCATGTCTAGATGCCGAACATGATAGCAACCCATATGCCCATAGCGTGAGACATGCGTAGTACACGGCGATGGCGTTGAATTCACGTAGCGACGCAGGTGGAAGCTGGCGAGCATGGTGAAAAATCTGACCAGCATGCCATATCGCGTAACGTGCCTCGGACGTCCTTACCCAGCTGTCTTCCAGGCTGGTATACGTCCTACGGGCCTCGTCCTCTCCCGATTTGCCAGCAAACGTCTGCAAGATGTCGGGAGAGACGTGTAGGAGCATCATGAGAAGCTCTGACATGACTGCAAGTTGAGCTGTGGGCCGCTTTGATGTGAGGATCATGGTTGAAAAGTCGTTCAAATCTCGGTAGAGCTCCTGATACTGTGTTTTGAGCCACAGGCGGTGGGTCGCATTCCTCTTGCTCGAGAGACCATCGGCATAGAACTTGATGGCTTCACGATATGCCGCTATTTGACCCCAGTAGCCATGCAGCAAGGCCATGTAACACAATTCTGTATCGACCAGTTGGTCGAATTCGTCCAGAATTTCAGTGCAGTGCATCACTTCTGATACACGTGGGATGATGCGGTCTGGGGCTGCGTTTGTTTTGGCGACATACACGTTCCTCCATTGCTCAGCGGATCGTGCTCTCCATAGATCTCGAGAAGCAGGAAGGCTGAAGTTGAGTTCGGTGTAAGACATTAGTGGGTTTTTGCAGAACCCGATAGAAGTCTGAATATCGTGAAAGAACATATGCAAAACAAGGCGTTTATAGGATTCACGCTTCGCAAATTTGCGCCACTTCGAGTCCAGGACCTCGGGGGAGTCTGTCATCATCGGGATCATAGCCGAAGAGTCTGGTGGGGCCGAGAAGTTTCCTGCACGTCTGAGCATGGTCATCGGGGGCTGCAGGAAGCTCTCCGCAATTTCCATCTTCCGCTTGAAGCCACTCCAGATGCCAATATCTAGGTTGAGCATGAATGCTTGGAGAGCCGCCAGTTCTCGCGTGAATGAGTTTGAGCCTTCGAACTAGGCAATATTAACAAGATAATTTGCTGCAAGGCGGATGGTCAAAGGGGCTATCGACTTACCAAATCTGCCAGCCCAAGCCGGAGCACTTCATGTAGCGAGAACCCGAACTGCCACACAGCAGGAATGGAAATATATGTAGCACCGCTGGACAGAATACCAGCAAGTAGTTCTGGAATAGCAGCAGCAGCATCAAACGTCGCCAGATGAATCCAACTGTCGCTCTGGTGCTCATCGTGGATGAAATGGGCTTGCACGAGGTAATTCAGGAGATCCAAAGAAGGGAAAGATGGTGTACGTGTGCGACCGCCTTTCGAGACTGTGCTAGCTACCACCATGGCCAGAAGACTGTCTCTTGAGAGGGAAGTCATCTTTAGCTTCGTGCCCGGAGTATTGATGAGCTTATCGAAAGCGGGGGAATTAGCAAAGGTGCCGTTGTCAAGAATGAGCTGCTCCTTGTCCTGCGGTGACGCGTGATGCAGCGCGTAATCCTTTGGCCCCGGCTCCCACAGCCAAGGCGACCGTTTGAAGGCCGCGTGTGCCTTTGACGCATTTCTTGTGTTTGATTTTGACCGGCTGGTTGTAGTGGACTCGGGGGTTTGGTTGATCTCAGGTTGTGGGATGGTTATGGCGTCAAAGTTCAGGTCCCATGAGGAAAAGTCCATGTCCTGGAAGTACGTGTGTACTGGATTGAAGTTGACAATATCGTCCATCACCATGTCCATGACAGGGTTCGAAAAGCCATCGTCCATGTAAGAGGATGCGTCCAGATCATGGCTCATATCGGGGTTTGGTGGCATCATGACCAGTTTGGAGGCCGTATAAACGGAACCTGTGTCCATGCTGCCGTTCATGTCGACGCTCATATGCAGTGTTGATGTCTCGGAAGGGCTGGAGGCGCCATCGATTGACGTCCGGTGAGGATGCGTACGCTTCGAGGGGACTTCGCATGGTAAATTCTTGGATCGACAGCGAGAGCATGGCTTGGCATCCTACAAGTGTATCAGCCTACTGGTGCTTTTGGGCAGGACTATAGTTTTTCCCGGAGGAAAGGGGGGGGGGGGGTACCTCGCATTTTGACTTGGAAGCGGCACAATTCAGGCACGCCTCGGCAGCCCGATCGCTCCTCCGTATGAAGGTTCTACCCTTGCCTGTATTATCTCGGTCGTGGGTTGTCTCATGACGGGTGAGGAGGTCGGCTCTATTGAATCGCTTGGGACAGCGGGAGCACTGGTAGGGACGAGCATTCTCATGAGAGCGTAGATGTCTCGTCAGATGATCGGCCCGCTCGTAGACACGCTTGCATATATGACATACATGTGTCGAAGAGGGAGAGGTGTCGGATGTGCTCAGTTTGCGTTTCCCGGGCTGTTGGGGTAAAGGTTGGGCCGATTGTTTCGGCAGTTCCGGCGGGGAATAGAGGGGGTTCAGCATGTCAGAGCCGGCGGCATCGCAAAGGATGTCGATGCCGTTCATGATATGTTTGGCGAACGGTGGGCGGGAGGGAGGAGGAAGATGTAGATGGGGCCGGAGGTTAGATTGAGTTAGGTAGAATTGATGATGAGCTGCAGAGGCTCTTCGCGCAAGTCTTGCGACGGCAGCGGCATCAGGGAATTGGGCACCGGGAAGTGGCGGGGAAGTTTACCTCAGGACGGCAGCAAAGTGGAGCAGTCGAGCTCATATTCTGGGGGAAGGCCCGCGGTGGGCAGGGCAAGAAACACTGAGCGGGCATGGCCGCACTGCGGGCACGGTAATTGGCATGTCACGGCGGCCGGGGAAAGGTAACTCCACGCACATATTTGTATGGAAGGGTACTTTGCCCAACCTCGACGCTCATCTGTACCTTTTTGCGGGGTTTTAGGCCCAAACCTAAGACAGCCTGGATAGTGGAAGGGGGGAAATACATAAATACCCAGCGCCAATGGGGACCAGAGCCGTTGGATTTTGCCTTGCCGTGGTTGGCTGCGGAACCGGAGCAGATGTCCAGGCTGGAGGACGACAAGACGGGACGGGAGCGTAATGTCGATGCTCGATTCGCTCACACGTTGTCGAGAGTCTAAATCTGACTGACGGTTCGTTGCAACTCGTTGCACTCGAGGACCTTGCACACCATTTCGTGTCGAGTCGGCCCATGGCTGTTTCTTCCTTGTGGGGTCGACAAGCCTTGTTCATGAATACGAGGCGGTTGAGACAGGAATAAGGAACAATTCGAGAACAAATACCTGGGACTCTCTGAGAATAATGGAACTGAAAGCCCTCCGATTGACGTCTCTGCTGCATTGCTGGGCATCGAAGACTAAATGTCATCATGGCGGACCAAGTTCAAGAAGAAACAATTCCTTTGATAGGGACAAACTCAACCAAAACGAGCCGCAATGACAACCTTTACGGAGCGACGACATCCTAGAGCACTAGGATAGGTCAAGTACTAGCTCCACAACGGTCTATTGACGACTCCCACCCTCGCTACACTTTAGTAAGAGTAGACCGGTAGTGATGATGATGACATTTACGTGAGATTGGTGGCCCGGATTGATGACTTGCTCCTGCTGGTCATCTGTCCTCTATTGCTTTTCTTCGGGTCAAGAACTTTCCATGACTGAAACCCATTCTGAGTCTTGGGTTCTCCTGTTTGACAGTGAGTGCTAAGATTATCACAGAGAGGACCCATAGATCCACAGGTACTGTCCCGTCCAGAGTGTCCGGTTGCGGACCGGAACGATAAGGTTTGCATATCTGATTAAGATACAGCAGGACCCTGGAGGAGATGCACTCCGTTGCCATAAATAAAGGTGATTTGGGGGGGGGGGGGGGGGGTAAATGAGATATTTGTCAGGGTCCTGGGTCCTGGGTCACATCTAAGTGCGAATTGTCATTATTCCTTGAGGTATTCTGACTTCAAATTGTGTCGGGGCTCTCTGTCGTGCGTGATTTCCCCATGGCCCGCTGGCAGGCAATATGATTCTCAGGTACGGATAGAAGGAGCGGATTCCCGTACTCCGTACTTCGTATCCACCCAGTTTCGACAACTCACGTGAATGAATCCTGCTCACAATTCACAACTCACTTGAAGAATGAATGAAGAAGTTGCGATTGAGAGTGAGGCAGGCAGGTGGGGACCAGTGCTTCAGATCGGAAAGTGAGGGAGGAGCGCATTCGAGACGCGAGCCAATCAGGCAGTTGACACAACAGACAGCAGGTGCCATCGAGGAAGTTGTCAATTCTCAACTTCTCAACCCAACGCAGCCTCAATCCATCCTTGCTTTTTCTTCCCTTTCTTTCACCAGCTCTGGCCGCCATTTCTTCTGTCACTTTTCCACTCCTTCATCCTCTTTGCAACGGAACTTCACAGTGCTGAAGCTTGACGTCCCTCCGAAACTAACGGTGAACACTGCCAAGCATCGTCTCTTCACACCGGTGTAGTAGCTACCCTTCCTTTCCTCCTTTTCCTCGTCCAACTCAGCTTGCCGACCCCTGAACAAATCACCAGCGCTTGCAGACATACCCTGTCTCGTCATATGATGCGTCCAACCAATACCTTACTCTACTCATCGCTGCGATTCAGTATACCGATTCGATCTTCGCACAGCCTGGCGCTATCCAACCTGGAGGGAATCCTCACCGCGCGGCAAATCCATGACATCTGGGCCAGGACCACCCGTGCTGTCACTTATGACGGTTTTGCATGTCTTACGATGAGAGACATGACCGCCCATACAATTCTCATCTTTCCCTTGCCAACCCGGGCACTGGCATCTCCCGCAAGGCGGCTTCTCAGGACCCCGTCACGATCCGTCACGATCTGTCAGAGACCCGGCAACCCACACTCTCTGACTCTTGCCATGTCGCCCAAAGTCATTCCTGAGAGCAAGACGTGCTGGGACGCTACGAAGCTAGGGACATGGACCTGGATCTCAGCTGGAATGCACCTTCCTGGATGCCGGCCCTGCTTTTTGACAGGCCTCTGAACTCCCTGTCGAGTATTGCAGGACGTCCATTCGTGCGTCCTGCACGCCGTTTGGTGTAACGAGTCTGACCCAGCTGGCAACTCCAAGCTACCTTACAGCTGTGTGTGTCAGTGGAACCGTGGGATCGGGACCGATTGGGCTGATAGGGGACCTGATCGCAACACAACCACCTGAACCCACGCAAGCCCGAGGTCCGCCATGCATCACCGCTGTTTCCGTCCTCCACGCCGACCTCCCATCCCCGTTATAGCCCGTCGGTCCGCAGCTACAGACACAGCTACGAAGCCCCGCGCCGCAATCCAGAAACGACTTGTCATCACTCCAAGGCCTGCACAAGATGCAGCTCGCAACCTTATGCTGAATATGGTCATTAGAATCGCCATCACCTGCCAGGTTTCCATCCAACGCGATACTCTCTTCAGAGAGACTGCTACCTTAATCCGCACTTGATATCCAGTGCCAAAGTGCCTCTTTGCTTTTCGACTCATCGTCTCTTTCCCCTTTCCAACTGCGATACCACCTCGATCTTGAGCGATACACACATCAGGGGATCGGGTTTTCCCCCATGCAACGACAGGCATTGCTGTGCCCATTCGTCGCAAAAACGGGCTCAGCACCAGCCAATACCACACCCCCGGTGTTATCTCCGAGCAAGCCACAACCCGCGTCCCGTCCGGCACTGTCGCGATCGGGGCCATGCGATGTGCTCCGGTCCATACAGGTGTCGTCTGCCTGCATCTGAATACTCCGTTCTTGGTCCCAAGATCGAGGGTGGAACCTGCACAAAGGTACACACCACTCGAGTCCCGTCGCCGTATCCATACCTCTGACATCAATTCCGATTCGAAACAGTCAAGGTTCAAACAAGTTGCGAAAACGAATAAAGAACCTGTATGGTGTCTGATTGAAGCAAGTATGCCGAAAGCGGCTACCATTACATTTCCAAACTCCCCCTCCAGGCCCAAGCCCAAGCGCCAGTTGGTTTGCCCATGTTGTTCTTACCCCTCTGCTCACCCATCTCCCGCCCATTCTACCCCTCCGACTGTACATTCCGATCTGAAAATCGGACAGACATGGCTCGTTAACATTACAGGGCCAGTACCCAGATTGGCCCACCCATCGATTTTGATCTGCCCCCTTTTTTCCCATTCCCTCCAATGAACCCAAAAAAATGACGGAAGAAAAAAAAGAGGATGAAAAGAATTCCTCGTACTCGAACAAGCACAACCCCCTTTGGTCATCTCATTCTTGCTCGCACACAACCCCTCAATCTATAGCCCTTGTGTGTCGCCGTTCGCCGTTGTCCCGGGGTATCGTAATTGTTTTAGTGGTTCCCAATATCGCATCGCAGTCCCAGCTATATGACTCTTGATCGGGGGATTTCAGCGCTGTACAAGAGTCAGCCTCACCGCCACATCTTTGCAATGACGCGGGAAGAAGTTGGAGAACTCACATGAGCTGTCTTAGCCGCAGGGGGTGCCGCAGTAGCCGCACTCTTTTCCGGGTAGTACCCACACCTCTTTACCTGAGGCATGGCACGTAGGGCAGCGAATGCCTGGGAGAAGGTGCTGAGAAAAGAGAGTTAGTTCGGGCCCTGTGTGGACGTGGGGTGCAGCCATGCACACTCACCTGTTTCGAGCCGCTCTTGGAGGACGACGATGGCTTCTGTTGGTTTCGGAAAGCGGTGTTGTCGACCTGGCAGTGGTTTGAGCAGACCATGTTGGCGAGATGTGATGGCGAACTTGGTTGGTTGAAGGTGGTTCTGGTTCGTGGGATTTGGATTCGAAAAGGTGTGGTGGGGGTTTTGTTGGTTGGGGTTGGACTCGAAGTCGATGTGTTGTTGATGGAGGTTGAAGTTTGGCTGCGTCAAGTTGATGTTCCTTTGAACCTGTAAAATGTCCGATGATGGTGATCTGGACAAGGCGAGAGAACTCCAGGCGGCAACCGTCGATACTTATAGTTTGGCAGATTCCTTTGAAATCGCACGACAAGGACAAAGCACTCGCTAGCTGGGCCGTCGAGACGGGCAAGGACCAGGTCGGCACAGCGAGGGAGACTTCGCTCCAGGCGGGAGCGGGTGTTCCAAGTCCCTGTTCTGGTTACTAGTGCAAGAAGAAAATATGGCAGTGCCATCTGATAATAATCAAATCGGCGAGCAACCGGCGGAAGGCCGCCAGCAGAAAAGTAGCAAGCAGCAAAAGAAACCAAACAGGCCGGTAGACCGGTACAGTGCAGAACATGGCACATATCACATTCTGGTGCGGGACTAGCAGAGACCCCCCCAGAGGCGTAGGTATCAGTGGCAGTTCAGCGATGAACGACGGTGGCGCGAACCAGGTTGCCAGGATAGGCATGGGTACAAGGATCTGAACGATGGGGGATGTGGATGGATACCTTGGGATCACTCTACTTTGTTCGAGGGGGGGAGCAAGGTGGGGTGGAACCAGGCCCCATGGTGATGGCTGAAGAATTGTTCATCGGGAACGACCGTAAGGTACGGTACATACACGCTTCGTTTGTGTGTGTGTGTGTGTGCGTGGTGTGCCGTGGGCGTGGGCTGCGTGTGTGAGCGTAGGTAGTTGCGTGTACATGCATCCTGGTGTGTCTCTTGTTTCCTTCTTGCTTTTGGCCTGTCTGTCTGTATGTATGTTTCCTTGGCTTGGCACGACTAGGTCGAGCTAGCTCTTGGGTTTCTTGTCTATGGGGAGGGGTGGAGGGGGTAAGTAGAAGAAGAAGGCGAAGGCGAAGGCGAAGACGAAGAAGAAGATGAAGAAGTGATTGGGAGTTTGTGCGAGGATGGTACTTTGGTCTACGGGAAAACCAAGAAGTCCATTCTTTTACTTGTATTTTCATTCTTTCCTTTGTGGGTATCGTAGACTCGTGGGTAAGACAAGACAGACAGACGCCGGACCAGCTCAAGCCGTGAAAGCCATGAGGTGCCCTCTCTGAGTCTCCAAACGGGAGACACGGCTCGGCTGGCGGCGGCTCCTCTGGCGGCCTGGCCTGAGGGATGGACGGAGGTTGGTTGATTGGTTTTTGTTCTCTTGTTTTGTTTTACCGTGTTTTTTTCTTCGTTTTTTTATATCCCCGAATCCTCCTTGTTTGGAATTAGATACCATCATACCAGGGCATCACCACGCGGTAAGAAGTATTAGAAAGCAAAGGTGAGGGCAGAGGCGCTAGCTGCCTAGGTAGTCCTCATTATTCTCTACCCCACACACCTCTCTCTCTCTCTCTCTTTCCCTCATTCTCTTTCTCTCTTTTTTCTTTCTTAAACCATGTAAATCCGGATGCTCCCCCCCTTCTCCCCAATCCCAATCCCCCCATGCCCATGCGGCCATGGCCCCCCGGGGTTGCTCATTGGCCCCTGGCGGGCAGTCGATCGCGAGGCTAGTGCAGGCAGGGGTGTATTCGAACAGGGAGCGAGCAGAAGAATAACCCAGATGAGTGGATGTTCCAGAGCTCTGTTCGATCTGCCCCGGGATTCCGCGCCGGGGAATTCCTTTCTCTGTGACTGTGTGACTTTGCAGCAAAGAAAAGAGAGGGGGAAGTCCATTACTGTGTATGTAGTTCAAGTACTGCGTAGCCATTGAATCATGGCAAGGTTAAGGTATCTTTCGCGAAAGAACCCCCCCTGGTACGCCCCCCTCCCCTCCCCATATCTAGGTATTCTCTCGCTGTTTACTCCGTACTTCTCCCAGTAACGCACGTATGAACGGAGAAAGAAAAGACTTTGGGAAACTCTGTAATAGTGTATCCGTACTACACTTCGTACAATGACCCATGTTGTCCCATGTTGTCCCATGGAGCAGACCCTCCCCGTGGATTCCTCTACTCTGAACTGCATGTATCCGGTAGCCAACAGGAAAAACCCTGCAGAATCGTCACAACCACCCCCCTAGAACCGACGTGGAGGCTCAAACGGCTCTCTGTCCCCCCCCCTCTCTTCCCATGGTTCTTCTTCTTACCCTAGCGCTTCCTTTTTGGGGGGTGGTTTAGAGGGGGGAAGATCGGTTTATAGACTCCACATCGCGGATGGGTATGACGAAACACCAACGAAAGCGACAACACGATACTTTTTGGCTGGCACTAAGATAGCTCGGACAATATTTCAAATCGGCTTATTTTTTCGCCTTTGGTAGAGTCGAGGAAAACATGGCAAGTGTAGGTAAGGGAGGGGGTGGCGGCGGAAAAGGAAAAAAAAAAAAAAAGGGCTTGTTAAGTGCCTTTGGGTCCATCGCAAATACTATCGCGTGCCCGTTTGCTTTGGTAAACGCCCCCAACGGGGACTAGCTTACTAGAGTGAGAGAGGGAGGAGGGGGAACGGGATGTGGCTGGAATAATTCAACCACGACGAAAGGGGGCCTCGTAATCCTCTGCAACAAGAGCCACGGAAGTTGCAGTCGCAATGCAGATTGCCAACGAAGGCACAATAGAGTTTGGAGAATGTCTGGATTGGACGTTGGTGGGATAATCTGATGGGCATGGCGAAATGCACGTAATAAGTCCAACCTACCTAGTTCCTGTGTTTAGCGGGTGCGAACTACTGCGCAGAGATGAATAAGGTAATGGAGATCCAATAAGAGACGACATATAGGTAGTTTCTGTTGTTTGCGTGTGTCAGTGAGTGAACGAGTGTGTACGTGTGTGTGTAAGTAAGCCTGTAAGGCGAAAAAGGCCGAACGGTAGTGTCAAACGCCCACGAGGGAAGATGCTTGCCGGGGAAGGGTTTGTATGGCTACCCGTTCGGAGCACTGACTCCTAAGGACTCCTCTTCATGGGCACCAGGTGATGACAAGCCCGGGAGGAAGCTGTACCGTAAACTCTGTTTGCCCAGGCTTCAGCCTAAAAAAAGAGGTGACGGCAGAAGTGTGTGTGTGTGTGTGTGTGTGTGTGATAGAACCTCGTTCATCTCTCCTCCGAGAACGAGGGGGGCGCGCAAAATGCAAAACGAAGGAGAATTTAGTTGTTGCTTTCCAAGTCCCAACAAAGTCGATTATGTTCCTTTTCTGCAAGCCGGGATATTTGGATTCCTGGGATGGGGTTTGTGAGCAGTCGTAAAAACAAATAATGATTAGTATGGATAGCCTGTCGCAGAATAAAAAAAGATAGCCCAGACATTTGCCTACCTACCCTGGAGAGAGGTTCCAAGGTACAGATACTCCGTAGAGACACACAGAGAGTGTGAGAGAGTTTGGGATAGCAGCAAAGCAATGAACGAATGACAGCGACCCTGGTCCTGTCTTGTTCGGATGACCCTATTGGTTTATTCCGGGGGGCTGAGTGGCGCTCCTCTTCCTCTCGTCTCGGGGGCCCGGGTGGGAGATTGTGGGAGGGGAGGGGTTATCGCGGCTGGTGAAGCTCACCTTACCTTGACTGCATACTCCGTACCTACCGTGATTGTGGCCGGCGGTTGCCCGATTGGTGGCTTGCCCATGGGTTTGTGCGTGCGAGCACACATACACACACACACACACATATACACGGGTTACAAGTTACAACCATTCACACCACCACAATGACACCTTTTGCTGCATCCATGGATCTCACTCAACATCTCCGACATCTCCAACATCTCCTCACATATCGCACTTTGTTCTTTCCAATCATGTACGTTCTGCTTCAGCTGACACGCACGCACACACACACACACACACATATATATATATATATGCCGGGATCTTTTTCTATTTGATCCAGGCTGCATGCCGATGGATCTTGCAACCGCTGCGGTTGTCGATGTGCTCCGTAGATAGAGGTTACCTTACCACAGTAGTTGTGCGACCTCGGCACACTCCTGGTGGTCACTCGTCAGGAAGTAGTGGTGATGGTGGAGGCAGAAGCCATTGCCCCTGCTTCCCTAGATGCCAGGGCTAAGATGCTACCAGATCCGATACCCACCTTTTTCTTCGCACTCCGACAATGTACCGCTTTG